GTATATTTAAATAACATATTTTACCCGTTCAAAGAATTGTAAGCAAAGAATTTTAAAATTATCATTTATGAACAATTTTATTTAATACTGTATCATTAAATAATCAATCTTTCGTATCGTATATATTAATTATTCTATGATTACAACCTTTTTTTTTTATTATTATCGATATCATTTAATAATCAATCATTTGTATCAATCGATGATTCTATTATTACAACCATTTTTTTTTATTATCGATATCACTTAAATGATCAATGTTTCATCAAATTATTTATCGCTATATACGCATAAGTATGATCGAGTATAATAATTTACTACGCACAAGTATGACCGGTATGATAGCTTTACCATACACGTGAGTATGATAATTAATTATAATCCTACTCAACTACATTTGCACCTCATACTATACTACTTTAGGTATAAACCTGCTATAACTAGCGCTAGGGATGAGCCATACGTATGACACGTAGTAAATTACTACGCAAATTTAGTAAATTTGAAACGAAATAATGAGTATAAATTCTATATACTTAATGTCGTTAATTTTATATGTTTTTAATGTCCGATTAAGTTTGAGATTTCGTTTAGAAATCGGTTACATATTGACTCATTATATTGATACGTATTTATTATGAGCTTGAGATCGGCACTCATTATAATAGACAACTATACTGTAATGCATAATGAATTACAAACCTTATTTTTTTGCTTCGGAATTTTATCAGATTCTGATTTCCTAGTACGATAATCAATACGTACAGTACATAATAATCTTCGGGCAAATAATGTTTCGCATTACATAGTAAATTTGAACCTCCGAAAACTGATCCTTTTAAATCTGATAAAAATCATCTGTCATGCTTGTTTCTTCTGACATGTTTGTTTCTGTTACGTACGTATGTAAATCTAATAGCGATAGTTTATTGTATTTTTAAATTTGTTAACTTTTTAATGCTAACATAAAACCTGTCGCATATACATTTAAAAGATTACGTACGTACGTACGTTATCATTTCATCTGTGCACCTGACAATTATAATTACGTATACGCCCCAAAAAATAATATGTACCGTACGTAACGAATTAATTTTATAATCTTACCATTTTTGGTGTAATTGATTATCTAACTAAATAGTATCGTGATTGTTAAAGCCCTCAAAAAGAGGCTGTGTGCATATTTACATGAGACTGATGTCATAAAGTAGGTTCCAGAATGTGTTCTCTTTCATATTAATCAAAATGTATAAAAAGTGAAGTATTATACAGAGAACCTCATTCTCATAATAAAGTAACACAGATATAATGGTATTCTCTCCTTAATTTCACACCATCAAGCACCCTAATGGAATTATTATGTCCTATAGAAACCTTTTATTATTCAATCAACATAACTTCTAGTTGCGATTGAAGCTACACTGCGCATTCATTGTGCGTCGCTCTCCCAAACCAACAGTTACAATACTTAATAGCAAATATTTTATGTATACTGCTGAAATTTAAAATAGACCGCCATTTGAATTGAGCTTACTTCCTCCAATGTGTTTGTCGTATAAAGTAATTGTGGTTTTTAAATTTTCTGCACCATACATACGTATCATAATTTTTTTTTTTTTTTTTTTTTTTTTTTAGAAAAAATACGATTTTTAATTACACGATTGATACATGTACGACGTACCTTCTACTTTTCTGATGTTGTTCCAAAACTATGATTATATAACAAAGTTGTGTCTCAGAAATATAAAAAGACATACATTTCAACCAACTTTATTCATTATCTTTATATAACTTTGTTCTAAACTATTACCATATTATCAAACTTATCAAATTTTGTCATTTGAAAAAAAAAACTTTCACCAAATCAAATTACATAATACATTATTCAATGTTCTAAGTCCTCAATGTTTTAGGTCATCACATTACAATTACCGTATAAAACCATAATAAATATCCTCTTCCGGATATTCGCGATTATTTGAACCACCACATATAATAACTCGATTTTTCAATAAATAGATTTTATATTGGAGATTTTGGTATTTTCTTTTTTCAATTATATTATATATTAGAATTAAATATATACTGATATTTAGTATTTCTCTACAAAAATCAGGTATTGCTTAAAATACCCTGACCAAAATTGACTATCGAAAATCATGGTCCTGGCCGAAAGTTGGCCGATGTAGATTAAACCCTGCCACCGAGTGTGGGCTCAGTCCTGCCGCCGAAAGTAGGTAGATTCAGTCCTGCCGCCGAGTTGTGGGTTCAGTCCTGCTGCCGAGTTGTGGGATCAGTCTGACACCGAGATTTGGTTCAGTTCTGCCGCGTATTGTGGGTTCAGTCCTGCAGCCGAGCTGTGGGTTCAGTCCTGCTGCCGAGTTGTGGGATCAGTCTGACACCGAGATTTGGTTCAGTTCTGCCGCGTATTGTGGGTTCAGTCCTGCAGCCGAGCTGTGGGTTCAGTCCTGCCGCCGAAAGTAGGTAGATTCAGTCCTGCCGCCGAAAGTTGGTTCAGTCCTGCCGCCAAAAATAGGTCCTGAGGACTGCGTGTTTATGGACTAAACTACGTAAAAGTAGGGCTATGTAAAAGTAGCATTTGTCATTGTAAGCGCGTGGAGACTCTCGACCAGGTCTATGATTTAAATTATGGGTAATTGCTCTTATATTGTTTTTTTTCTTGCTACCTATGTGTCGATTTTATAATTATTATTATTACGGCATTTATTTATTAGAATTGTAATTATTAAAATAATTTTACGCAGTGTAAAGTATCTACATATTTTTATCCCATTGAAATCAGAGTACAAACCCACTATAAAATGTCGGAGATTTCCGTTTACGTAAGACAATTTTCGCCTTTACTTTTCATAAGTCGGAAAAATTACATTATTTAGACAAATTTATTGGCGTTTATCGTTATATTTGAACCTCAGATTAAAAAAGAAATTACTAGCAAAAAAGCAAGTTACATCACCCGGAAATCTTGTGCACTACCTGGAATTCAGGAAATAATTATTTGCCTATACGAATTTTAAATGTTAAACGTATTCATCAACTAAACATGTTTAAATCAATATATCACAATTTTCATCACAAAGTTTCATGAATAAAAGAGTGAAAAATATCGTTATTTATTGTTTTATATCTTATTAATTCCAGCATAACTGGTTACCAATTCTAATTTTACTTTATGGTTTGGATTT